GCACTCCATGCATTCGTATTGACGGTGTTGGCATTGTTTTTCGTGCTTGATCTTATCGACTTCATGTTTGAATCCTCGGCGACACTTTGGACAATGGAATGGGAATTTGGTGGCATGGACTTTCATGTGAATATTCAAATTGCCTTTGATTGTGAAAGCCTTCGCACATATTTCGCATTCGAATGGCTTCTCGCCACTGTGGATTAGCATGTGTCTCTTAAAATCAGACAATCGATCTGTTGTAAGTTTGCACTCCATGCATTCGAATTGACGGTGTTGGCATTGTTTTTCGTGATCGATCTTATCGACTTCTTGCTTGAATCCTCGACGACACTTTGGACAATGGAATGGGAATTCGGTGGCATGGACTTTCATGTGAATATTCAAATTGCCTTTGATTGTGAAAGTCTTCGCACATATTTCGCATTCGAAGGGCTTTTCACGTATATGGATTCGGATATGTTCGTTGAGATGTTTTTTCCGTGATGTAGCATATTTACATAAATGGTATTTGTGTTTCTTCTGATTTTTTGCTGTCGATTTCTTTACACCTTTTGACTGATTATCTTTCTTCGCTTTAGATGTGCGACCACGTCGTCCTTCACTGTTTTCTTTGTTTGGTTTTGATTGACGTCGATGTTCACCATATCTATCATCACCTTTGCCTCGACTCGGACCATCATCTGGTGTCGATGAGCAGTAACTTTTCTTCGAACATTCTCCTTCGTCTTCGCTCTTGATTTCTTTCTTTGCACAATCAAGATCGCAACTCGTACACAGCTCATCGTCGCTCTCGCTCTCCGATTTGATCGTTTTATTTACATCAATTGGTGTTGGCGACGGTGGAAGCTGAACTAATTCAGCTGCATCTCTTGGCTCCTCTTTGACAACAACTTCTTCTTTGATGGTGACCTTCGGAACTGTGTGCTTGCATTTACGCTTCAACTTTCTTCTCAAAGTTCCTTTGGTTGTATATGGATTCATTGTGCTTTTTTCCAACTAAAGGAGGAAGAAAAAAAAACAAAAGAAACTCATTTAAAATTGTAGATAGTATGGAATTTTTAATCCGGTTAAATCGATATTAAAATGTACTGATCGGAAATTTTATGTTTTAAATAGATATAGAAATGAGTTCCATCTATAATAAATATTTTATTTTTCACACTATGTGCAGTGTAACACAACAGATATTGTTGAAATAAATGTCAATTGGTAATGCTCCACCACTGACTGAACCATGAGATCGTATCATCAAATTCTCAGAGTAAAGAAGAATGGATGAATAAAAAGGAATATCTCAAGTAAAATCTTGAATCATTTCTGGTTTAAATAAATGCAATACATATTGGGAAAAATTGTACACCAAGTATTTTCTTATATGGAGAGAGTGCATAAAAAATGTCACATAACCTCAACGTCATGCTGCACTTATTAACAATAAAAATCCTTTAGTTTTATTATTAGTTTCATTGAATTCAATCGTTTCAATATTTTGGATTTTAATTAAATACACAATGGCTACGAAAATTCAGACAAACTCACCCTTTAATTACGGAATTTATTTGTCCAACAAATCGATTACAACTTCCAAACTATATGTACGTGTTGTTTCTTCCAATGACTAGCTGCTTGTGACACATCTAGTTTTATTGTACGCAATAAATCAGCAAAAATGGCGCGCACTCTTTTACGTCACTTAGGTTGGCAATTTCAGTGGTTTGCAGTTGGTACCTCATCAACTTTTAAAATGCAAGCATCGTTAATGCAAAGTGAATATTGAAAACTTTCTAAATCGCTAAATTAAAAAATTAATTGAAAACCCTTTTGAAAGTTTAAGAAACAGATATTCGAGCATCATCAGCAATATGAAGTTGAATGGCCACAACAAAGGTTAACATAATCTCGAAAGTATGATATTTTTCATTGATTCGCAATAATTAGATTAGAAAGATATTTTTTGGCAGGTTGGCTGGTTAAAGACATAATTGTATCGTTCAGAATAAAAGTGACCTTTATTGATAGCAAAATGGAAGGAGGTCACTTTTAACCTAATCGATAATAAACATGAATTTTCCAGAAAAACGTCGTCTGCATAAATTCAAACTCTGCAAATGATTTCATGAAATTTACCGCACAGAAGTACTGATGATGATTTTTGTGTGTGTAACATTTTTTGAAGTAAGAATTCAACAATGCGGCAACAAAATGAATAAAACGTCTTGTATTAATTGGTTTATATTTGAATCATAATGATGCTTGTTAACACTGATAAACAGGAACTGTTTGTCTTACGCAGCAAAAGTAAAAATGTCACAAAATGTTCGAGTGTTCAATTGGAAATGTTAATAAGTGACCACTCAATTTATTGTTTATTTCGGTGGTTGTGCATAAGTGCGCAGTGATATGCAACAAATTATCCTTCAGCAACAGAAAAGAGGTCAAAAATAAAGTCAAGTAATGTAAACAAACTCATACATTTCATTCCGGAATCACGAAAATAGCTTATTATTATCAATGCTGTTTATGCGTATGAGACTATAGATTGGGGTATTCTTGTACAGCAACAGTGCTATATAAAATAAAATCGTTCAATCCAAATTAACATACTATTAAATGCATCAGCACCATAATGATACCCAAGCTTGGTAAAAATTTGTCTAAAACCAGTTTCAAGTGTTTTAACAGATAAGTATTAAACAACGAAATGAGTAAAAAAAAGTCCACTTGAAATATGTGTTGCGGAAAGCGTGTTTATTCTAGAATGGTCATATCAGTTTAAAATGAAATCAATACAAAATTATTTTTTTAAATTATAAATCACAAGTATAAGTCATGACTACTGCGTGCGTTACCAAATTAGATGATTTCGAGTTCAACCTTATCTGAATTTTCAACATATTTACTTTTATGTGTTTCAAACAATTCTCTAAGCTGAGCGCAAAATAGGTCATGTGTTTTGTTGACTTCGTCTTGCGTTGGATTTGGATTCTTCTCCAAATGGATTGGTGCACCAATAACCGTGGTAACCGGTTGCCTTTTCGGAACAATGCCATAGTTATATTGCAAGATTCCACGACCGTTAAAATGGATCGGTGCAAGTTTTGTGTATCGTTTGAATGTATCTTGAAGGAAACGGCGCCATGAACCCGGTGGATATTCAATTATTTCGAAAAGATCATTTTCACCGAATGAAATGGCCGGCACCAGCGATGCACCCGTCTTCAATGCAATGCGAACAAATCCTTTGCGATTTTTTAATACACATTTGTAGGTATTTGGTAGGGCATAAAACGATTCTTGAGCACCACCGACGATTAAAGCAGCCGCATTTGCCGTGTATCCATCTTGGTTTGATTTATCTTTCGGATCATTCGATTGTTCCATTAGTTTTGTCAATGAACTTGCTGCTACCGAACAAGCACCCAAACTAAACAATAATTCACGTGTGATTGGCAATATGAGATTCATCGATAACGTCGTACACTTCGAACGAATTTTTGGAAACAAGGTGGACCATTTCGAATGGCTTACGTTACAGGTCATCAAGACACCGAGGCTGTAAGAGATTGAAAATGTTAAAATTGAGAATGTGACATATCGTTTTGGCTATTTTTAAGGAGAAAATGTTGAGATTTTGCGGATTATTTGGTTTTTGTTCACTAAAAGGGACTCTTTTTTTTTTTAAATATAAACGCACTTGATAAAAGAAAGTTCAAAGAACATTTTTCATATCAACATTTCATTTCGTGTTCTTTGAGATTTTCAACTTGAGAATGTGAACTTATCTTCGATTTGAATTAATGTGCGATTAAAGCAATTCTATTTTCGAGTTTATGCTTTGGCATCATTTTTACCATGTCGAACACTTTGAAAAATCAAATAAAATGTCTATTAAATCATCGAAGTTTTACTTTTCCGCACACCCACTGTGTGCAGTATAGTATTGCAATTACCCCAAAATTTTGGAATCGCTAAAAATCGTTTTTCTATGCGTTTTGGGTATAGAATATCACAGAGCAACGGTTTTTGGCCATGTTAATGTGGGGATGTGGTACACTGTACCCTGTATGGAGTACGCAAAAAATCAATAGGTAATTTGTTAGCACGATAACTCTTCTTAGAGAAAAGCAAATCCAAATCTGACTTTACATGGTGATTGGGGATGGCTAGGAATAGGCTGGTATTGTTTTTCAGCGATATTCGTTCATCGGTGTATCTATGGTGTACCTCTAAGGGGTATGGTATGCAAAAATGTGTTAACTCGATAAATCTTTCTCCAGAGGCGTAAATTAAAGTTTGAAATGTGTACTGGTTTTTTTTTTTTGGCACGAACACACACACACACACACCACATACTTTCATATTTTGAATTATTTATACGTCAATAGTCTATTGATATATTAATTGGCCAAAAAACCTTATTGCTCTCAGCATTTAGATTTTGGTAGTTATTAAATTAGTACTGCACTACCAGTACCAGTGCATGTTCAATATCTTTTAAGAAATAAATATTCGATTGGTAAATAAAAAAAATTGGAAACAGTGAGGAAAAGTTAGACTTACGGATGTAAGTTCCGTTTTATCAAATTTTAGAGTTTTTTAACCATTAAATTGAACGTTACTAACGTACTTGTGACACAGAAATTGATAAGATTCCGATCATTCATGAAAAAAATCAAAAAGTGTATTAATCATACGACAAAACCCTTTGAGTAAAGCAAACAATCAAATTAAAACACTGTACTTTGAACTCGTGTTACATTTGATCTCAACAAAGACCGAGTGGCGTAATGACTGAGTGCGAAGTCCAAACCCAAATAGATGTTTTAGTTTCAATGATTTTGATTTACTTTACCTCAAAATACCATGTGGAAAGCAGCAAATCAAATAATTCCGATCGGATGGCAAATCTGCAGTTTTCACTAAATCCAACGGAAAATAGTTGATAGCATGTTTCCATATATTCCAACCTCTTACCCATGGAACCCTGGAAAATTACATTTTTTTGACATTTTGAAATAATTTATTTTCGATTTTCTGAATTTAATCAACTTCGATGAAAAAAAGTTCGCTTACCCAGCACCTCGTCCACCGCTAATTCCTGTGTTCCGATCATAGTAAATAAATGCCAAATATACAACCGTAATTGCTTTCATGTAAATATTTCCAGCCAACTGTAATAAAATTTAAGGAAAAATTCCAATTAATCTTGAATGCCAATTTAGTTGATTAATTTCTTGAATTACCAATAAGTACAATATGAACATTGATGAAAGTACGGGCAGAATTAATACGCAAAACATAACAAATCCAATGCCAAACAATTCCATGCGACGATGCATCGGCACATTGAACCAAGGTGTCCAAGTTATAGCCATCTTTACAATTTTGATCTAAATTTCAATTGAAACAATTATTCACAAAGCAACACACGATGCAGAAAAAATAACTGTTCACACATTTAATCGAAATGAAAAAATATCGCAATAAAGCAAAATAACGCGAATTGTCCAAGTCGACAAGTCAAACTAAATAAATGTAGGAACAAAATATGCGTATAACGGGCAACGATTTGAGTTAGAAACAGCTGTTATCATTTATGCGATAATATACAGTAGCTGAATTCAAGGTCTCTGTTTTTCAACAAGTTGCACGACATTTCTTCTATTTCTCACATAAAACTGATGACCACAACAAACGCTCTAAAAAATATTATAATTATTGCCAGACAGTAGTGAATGTGTTGCTTGTCTGGAACTAGAATTATTACTACATATAAACTATTGGTATTCAAAACTATAAACAATCATCATTTATTGTGTGCGGTAAACGGTGTACTGTGCTTCACAATAAAATACGCGACACTCGCTCTTTCTTATCACGTTTACGTAGATCACATGTGCCTCATTCGGGTCGAACATGTGCTTCGTATGAGTACAGAATGCCTATATATATAAGATGACTCAATAGTATATGAATAATGAATGTCACTATCAACAATATTAAGTAATCGCTCGCATTATATATACTTTCAAAAGACTTTCGTTTGAGCAACTTAAATGTATTCAATGGGAATCAATTGAAATGAGAAAACATAGACGTTCATTGAAGTATGCCGGTTGTGTTGTGGCAAATCAGCGCAAATGTTTTAAGTGATTCGCGTCAATTGGTAGTTTTTTTCAACAAATTTATGGCAGCGCTGAGATTTTCTTTCTTTTTGAGACATTTGAAAGGTTTTGAGGTTTTCACTTCCAAAGAGCTTAAATTTTAAACCTCCTTTGAAAATTCATTGTGTTTTTCAAGTCAACTCATCGATTTGAATGAGAACGTTGTAGAATTGGACTTTTATTGGTGATTATGCCAACAAAATTTGAATTTTACAACGTTATCATTCATATCATGACATAAATCTATGACAAACTATATACCAGCGAGACACTTCAATTTTATGAGCTTGTAAAATTTGTGGACATTCTAGGAAATTAACCACGTCAGATGGAAATGTATTTTTGAATAAACAAGGCGTATTTAACAATTTATATTAAAAAAAACACTTTTTCAACTTTCCTTATAAAAGAAATTATAAGAAATACTGAAATATGTAAGTGGATTTTTGAGTTAAAAGAAAACGAATTTGGTGGACTTACCGACAAGGGCTATTTTTATAGTATAACAAAAATATCATTTTTAGCTAAAAACCTTTTCCTCCTCACTTAATGAGGAGCAGTGTTCGGTAAAGATGAAGATAATAGATAAGATACCAGATAAGATACAGATAAGATGCTATCTATATCTTATCTGTACCTAGACCGAAAAAATATCATCTTATTTAGATACTTTAAAAAATTTCAGTATCTTTGAATGGTAGATAAGATACTTTTTAAGATAATTTTTTGAGAAAACAAATTTAAAAAATTTAAAGTATCTTATCTAATATCTTATTATTTAAAGTATCTTATCTAATATCTCATCTTATCTGCAGGTAAGATGCTTTTTAAGATATTCAT